TATTAACTTTTTGATCCTTTTAAATATAAATTTTACTTTACATTCTTTCTAAATTGTATATATATATATATATATATATATCTAATATTACTATCATATGTATTTGGAAATGTACATTTAATTGTATTAAAATCTTATTCAAATAACTTTCTTTTTGTAACTTTAATTTGAGCACTTATATTAATATATTAAAATCGTTTGTAATGCAAGTTAAAAGAATAAAATAGGAATGGACAAAAATGATAGAAAATTGGAAATGAGAGAAGGGATAAGAAAAATAACCATAAAACAAAATTTTGCAAGTAAAGTAATTATAAAAGAAAGAATTGGTAAAGATTGACAAAAAAAAAAAAGAGAATTGTTAAATATTTTCCTTTTTTTATAATACTCCATATAGATCTTGCATATTAAGAATATATATAGTTTGATTTTTTTATTAAAATAATAGTTGATATTTTTTAACCTCAATTTTAAGGATTATGAATTTGATTAAATAAATATTAAAAATAATTAAGGAAGATGAAAAATATAATAAAACTATAAGGTAAAAATTATTTAATTATTAGATTAACAACTAATAAAATTTATATATAAAAAAGAAAATCAAAAGGCAAAAATTTCTTAGATTGACTATTTATATCTATATGTATATCTACATATTATAGAAAATGCTACACTTAAGTATTAATTAGGCATTAAAATTTGTCATTTTTATTTTAATTATAAAAAATATATTTTGTGAAAAGTTAAAAAGAAAATATAGTATTTTTACATTCAAATGTAATAAATATACATATTAATCATATTAGTTTTACCTTTTTATTTTCTCATCTTCTTCTCTTCTACTTCCACTTCCACTTCCACTTCTCTTCTTAATATTCTCAATTATTTTACTATTATTAGCTTTCATTACTTATATAATGAATGAATTAAACCAAAGGAATATGAATAGATGCTTAATCTTTATGGAGAATAAAAACATATGATTACAATTTAATTTATCATCATTTATAACACTTTTATTCATTATTTATTTTTATCATTTTTAATTTTTTTTTCACCTCAAGCACTTTTTTTTCTTGGTTGGAAAAAAATGTGCATGACAAAGTGAGATCTAAAAAAGCTTGACAAAGATTGACAAAGAAGAAGATTTTTGTATGAATTGTTTGATTATATTTCATATAGAATTTTTTTTTTGTTTTATATATCAAAAATGTTTTTTTATAAAAATAATAGCATATGTATATATATATCTATTTGTTTTGAATATAGATGTACAAAAGAATGTGATGATGAAAATGCAAAATAAGCATCTTGATGAATAAATTAGAAATATGAAAGAATTTGAAAAATATCTATATTAGTTCATCGAGCTTTATAAATGTTAAAATTAGTCAAATAAAATTTGATTTGATTTATTTATTTATTTTGAGCATATTTTTATTTTTCTTAGCACATATTTTGAAATTGTTATTTAATAATAATAACATCAACAACAATAACATCAACAATAATAAAAATTAATGTATAAATATGTACTAAAACAATATCTAAAGCTATTCTTGCAAAGCAATTTCCTATTAAATGAGAGTAACATACATTTTTATCCAAATATTTGATATATATTAAACCAGTATATTTATTGTTATTTTTCGTTACATGTATATTAAATTAAGGGAGAATGGCTTAAGAAATGAAAAATATTAATTCATAGAATACTAAACATATTTAAGAAAAAGTGAATATTTAAGAATATTAAGCATTGAAGGCTAAAAAAAAAAAGAATACTGTAAATGAGTTTAAGGTTTTTTCAATTCCTGATAACAAAATATTAAAGTTTTTTCAATTTCTAACAACAAAATCTAAATGATTTGTTCAAAATATTTTTTTAATAAATTTGATTGTAGAATATATATGTTTGAATTACTTAGTCTAAGTTATATTTAAAAAGGTATATCAATTTTTTAATATAATATTGAGAAAGGAATATTAAAATGATCTCGTGTAATGCACATGTAATACACAAGTATTTGATTCTATTTAAGTGTATTGTAGTTTTTAATTGAGAGAAGAGAGAATATTGTCTAAATCTTTAAATAGAATAATAATAGAAAAAAATAGATATATTTAAATTATGAAATAAATATTAATATTGAGTGTTTTTTGAATTCTCTTAATATTCATTTTTTTAATACGATTATATACAATTTTTAAAAAACACTCTTACTAATTACTGATTACAATTTTCAACTCAACTTTGATTACCTAATAAGAATTTTTTAATTAAAAATCATTATATTATAAAATTTAATAAAAAAAATTTAAACTCTAATATATATATATATATATATATATATAACCGTGCATAAAAGCTAGTTTTATTCTAAAAGAAATTGTTAGTGCAATAACTCAAATACTTTTCAAGATTTAATTTTGGAAGGTGATGTGGAGATAATTTTTTTGTGCTAACTTTTTTATATAAGTTTTATATGTAATTAAATAAGTTAATGTACTTGATATCATGAATTTCAAATAAATAAAAAAGACTAATCATTTAGGTTGTGTTTGGGAACTTGAATTTGAATTTGATATGTGTATTTTAAATACATGTATTTAAAATACATGTAATTCAAATACGTGTATTATAAATACTTAATAAAATACATAGTTTGGATAAATTAAACTACCATGAAATTGAAATTGATTTGATGTTAATCCCTCTCATTGAGGCATTTTTACAAACACTTGATAGACAATATTAATAGGCATTTTTACCACTGCTCACGACGGCTTGATATGAACTGTGCTACCCTCATCACCGTCGCCCACTACCAGAAAATAAAAGATACAAGCTTGTTGTCATCGTGGGTGCTACAAGCTGCAAGAAGTCCTACCTTTCCCTTGGCTTGGCCGCTGTCTACTTTGGTTACTCTCAAGTCATCAACTCAAAAAATCCAAGTTTATGGAGATCTCGATATCACCACCAATAAATTACCTTTCCATTAGTGACTTGGCATCCCCACCACTTTTGAATGTGATCATTGGAGCTTCTTCAAAGAGCAGAGGAAGATGGAGAGAATGAGCAGGGAATTTGAAATTCATTGTCAAATTCATAGGTATAAGAGGATATTTCAAATACATGCTATTTGGTCTTTAAAATACATAGATTGAAATACATGTATTTAAACTAAAATTCAAATACACTTATATTTTGTAAAAACAAACAATGTATTTGACTTTATAACACCAAATTCAAATACACTCCTCTCAAATTCATGTTCCCAAACATAGCATAAATGATTTTGTGGGCTTATATTTGGATTCTTTGTTGAATTGATTTGTCAGATGCAAGTTATCCTTTTGAACAAGTAAATGTGCACAGTGCACAACCATGGTCACCTTTTTTTGTCCCTAGCAGTCTCATAAACGACAGATTGTAATTTTTTATGAGTAATTTTTTTTTTTAGGTTAGAACTTTAATTTGATCTTTTTATTTTGATAAAAAATTATTTTTAGTTTTTTTATTAATTTTTTTTTAATCTTTAGAAATTGAAATCAAGCTTCTTTTTAACTAATCCGTTAAATTTTAATATTAGATAACAAAAATTTTAAATGAAAGAAACTAAAAAAAGCTTTTTTAAGTAAAAAGATCAAATTGAAGTTATTTTTAACTTTTTTTTAATTTATTTTGAGTCTTTTTTTTTAACCTATCTACTTTAAAATTTTTATAATATAACATGACAAGTATATGCAAAACTTAACATATGGGCTATAAAAAAGTCGATTTCAAACTTAAAAGATTAAAAGAAGTTTTTTTAAGTAAAATGACTAAACAGAGGTCTTTTACCAAAGTAGAGGCACCAAATGAGAATTTAACCTTTTTTTGGATAAATGGATTGAAGCT